CAAGCAGACTGGATTTGCGCCACGGTATCTTAAGAATTACAGGGTATATTTTATAAATCAGTGGTTCTGGTAGTCTGCCTTTATATGGTTGTTTGATAGATGGTTGCTGGCCCAGTATTAATTCAGTCATTCTGGGTGTGATATATTTATTAAAAAGATGATTAAGGATTTCAGGTAAGGATAAAATGACCTTATTAAAATTCAGATGCAGTTGGCTAGTTTTGGGAACAAAATTGTCAATTTTTTCTTGGTAACTGCTTGTTCTTATCACAGAACAGGCTGACCTGCAAAAATGTGCCAAGCAAAAAAGAGATGTCATGGGCCGCATTGAAAACCATTTAGTGACGCTGCATTGTGGCTATACTCCTGGGAGTTTGTTGACAGGCGGATGAAAATCAGGGTCTTAGCATGCAATGGATGGCATAAATGAATGCAATATTGGATTTATGGTATTCTCTCAGGTGCTAATTTCTTCATCATGTCATTTCTTAGGTATTAGTGAGGCTAATTGACCATATTGACAGAATTTTTTGGTGAAGGTTTTTGAGCAGCTGAACAAATCCCAGAACTGGACAGATGAAAGTTGAAGCTGAAAAGGTCAATCTGGAAATAATTTTATAAAAAGTTTTGTAACTGTGAAGATAGTTAACCAGTGAAACAACATCTTGGGTGTAATGGTGGTTTCTTTTCTGCTTGTTAAGACCTTCTTCTAAAAGTTGCTGTAGTGTATTGGCTAGAGCCAGTTAGCTTGGTGCTGACAGTAGAGTTACAGACTACTGAGTTTGTATTAATACTCAGTTATTTCTTAATTAGGTCATATCCTTCCTTTGACATGTAGTGACAGTCTGGATCTACCATGGCCAGTGTAAGTTTTCTGTAGAAAGTAGTAAGTAGCACCATGAAGACTTTGAAAGCTCTTTAGGAATTTAGGCACTTTCTTTTTATTGGTTTCCATTGACAGTTGTGTAGCCAAATGCTGTAGTAAACTTTGAAAATTTCATCCAAAGTATTTGGTTTTGTGATTACTGAAGTCCCAGCTGTGCACAGTGAAGATATGAGTCATTCCCTAGTGATGCTTGACAGTTCCACTGTCTGATGGCCTCGGGCCATCGGTTTGCACTAATGATGGTTTGCGAAGGTAAATAGCCCCCCTCTACGTAAAGGAGGATTTGTTCCTTCTAAAGCATGAGGTGATACTTGGAGAGACTCAGCTGATGCAAGTGAGTTCCTCCTCCTTGTCTCTGTTGTGTCCAGTTGTGCTGGGGTGAGGGAAGTGACTGCTTATTCTAATCCAGAGCTGCCTATTCCCGGGAATAAAGTGTTATCAATTTGAATAGGAGAACAGATATTCTGTACGTGGTGAAATAACATAGCTGTTATACACCCATACATAATGAAACACGTGGATTTTAGTGTATGCTTTTATCTGTTGAACTGTGTAACTCTCTACATTACAGTTTAAAATTCTCAATGGCATGTTCTGTCCTCCCATTTTTGTAGAGATTGAAAAGCTTTGGATAGATTACTGAAAAGAAAGGGGACTTGAGAAAATGAAATGAAACAGAGTGGTCTTAAGAAGATCATTCAGAAACTCTTTTCTCTGTCCTGTCAGAACAGGAGAGCACTCAATGAATTCGAACGTCACAGACAAATTTCAGAACTGGTAAAAGGGAGTGGCTCTTGTATACGGCCTGGACAGTACGCCTGTGAAACTCATTGCTGCAGAAGGCTATTAAGGCCAAGTATATAGCAAACTTAAAAAAGAAATCAGATACTAGCAGAGTTATTACTGATATCCAGAATTATAAAAATTAATGCTATCAAAGTTTGAAAGAGATATTGTGTTTCGAGCTTTGGGGCACAGGGTAATCTCTGTCTGACAGATATCAAGATGAGACTTGTGGGAAGATGATGTCATGTCTATCTTGTAAGGGCTCTTATGCTACAGTCTAAACTTACTATGCTGGCAGTATACAAAAGTATTTGAACCTGTTGTCTGATTGCTTGTATCAATTACTGTACACAAAATCCTTCAAAATGTACATCCGTATCAACAGAAGTGATAGTCATCTAAAACACTGTATTTAACCAAATTAAGTCAGAAGTAAATGCAGCATGGTTGGATATCTCTGTAATTGTGTAGGTGTCAAAATGCTACTGGCTAGTATAAATGGTCTCACACTATACTGACCATATGGGTCTGTTAGGGTGCATTGTGGTTTTTTAAATGCAGTTATTTTTCAGTACAGGTTTTGCTGCTTAGTCTCATTGCTTTATTGGTAAGTCCAGTGTATCACATTTTCTAGACACAAGGTCTTATGCTACTGTTCTTTTTCCAAACAAAGCCACTTCTCAACTAGTGTGTATTCTGCTGTGGAGCAGTCTGGGTGCCACTGGAAATAAAAGCCAAAATGACCTTGCAATTAAAGTTCACTAACTCAGGATATCCAACCAGAAAAAATGAATCCCAAGGCAATTCTTGTATGTGTTTCCCACCCACCTCTTATAACTGGGAAAGGGAGTAAAAGAAAACACACGCAATAATGTGATTATTCTATTCTATTCTATTCTATTCTATTCTACTTCTACTTCTACTTCTACTTCTACTTCTACTTCTACTTCTACTTTTTTTCTGCAGTGTTTTCTGCCGGGTCTTGCAACTGTTCTTTAGTGTAACTTTAGGAATCTATAGAATAATAAGAACTATTATTTTATAAACTTCTGGCAGGATACAAGCATGATGTAGCTGTTTCTCTCAGAGATATAACACCAACATGACATGTGCAGACTTTTGCAAATAAACAGAACTAGATCTAATTCTGAGTGGGAACCAGAACCAGTACCAGAGGAATTAAACTTCAGTTGCTTATCCTGTAAGTAAACACACTGCAGGAAGAAGTTGTCTCAGAACTTAACAACTATTAAAGGAGGGCTCTAAGGGACCAAAGTTGTTTTTATTTTTGCTTACATGAGAGGTTTCATGTGAAATGATGTGTTAGTAGGACTGTGCAGGCTTGCACAGTGAAACGCTAATCTGTGATGTAGACCTTGTCCCAAGTGCTAGGGCCAGGAAAAAGTGGGGAGCTTTAATCTCTTTGCACGTTCAGGTCTGGCAAGAGTAGTTGGAATGGTTTTCAGAGGTGGTGTGGAAGTGTAACTTTATAAAGCAAATGATCTCATTACTTCTCTCCCTGTTCCCTAACCGGTATAATTAATATCCAAATGTTCCCTAAGATTAGTTTTATTTCCTGCCCAGCTAGTTGACAGACACTGCTGAGATTTGAATTCACAGCAGGCGAGAGCAGATGGCTACCTTCGCTAACAGATTACTGCATCAAAGCGTACAAACTGTCCAGCTCTGTCTCAATAAACTTCAACATATGATTTATAAAGTGAACATAATAGAAGAAATCCATGATGCCTATAACGGGAATCATATTACAGCATTACTTAAAGCACTGTGAGAATTGCCTAAGCAGTTATTGTATACTTGTGCTGATCTTCAAATCTTATTAGGCAAGAAAGCATTGCCTGGAAAATTATTTGTCTTCTCTTTGGTATTCCCTCCTCTCATTTAATTTTTATTGAACTAATTAAATTTAAAGGGAGACTTCCAATATGTATAGCTTCTATTGAAGTTCTAGCAAACATATGAATGTGTTCACACTGATTTGATGGTTAATTGTTTGTATGGGAATTTTTACATAAGCAAAAAAGTCGCTGCTAAACCTCTATACCTGGAAGTCCATGATGAAACTACTGTACTCTTAACTAAAAAACAAAACAAAACAAGAGTACTGTTGTTTCAGAAAAAGAAAAGTCATTGCAAAATCATGCATATATATCCAGCACGGCAGAGAAGCTTGATTATTTGGGATGGTAAATTGCAAGTAAAACTTGCCTGGAATGTTGATGAGAAATGCTTCATAAAGGAGGCCAAGGCTTTTTACAGAGTGTAGCAGCTCCAAATGATGGCACAGTATCTTTTAAGAAAGATATGATATTTCTAGCATGTTGCATAATTACTTGCTATGTAAATAAATATGAAATGTGAGGTCCTCTGTGCCTGAAGTCTATTGGTATTGCTGGCGTTATTTTTGAACAGGGTTGGTCTATAATTCCTTCTGGTTTTGTAAGCATTCAGCATATATTTACTCTTCGGGAAGCTCCCATTGCCTTGGGTATTGAAGAATGAGATACAGAGTGATTTATAGCTCTGTGAGATGGAGAGGGAGTCCTGATTCTTGCAAAATCTGGTTTTGTTTCCTGGCGAGTGGTACCATCTCACTGCTTTTCTGCGTTCCCGAGAGCAGTAGTTAAGTCTGCTGAGGTGCCTTGGACAGCAGCTCTGTGCAATTGTTAACCCTCTCTTCTGTCTTTTCTGTCCTCTGATTTGATCTGTTCAGTGCTCTGTTTCCGTCACTTTGTACTTAAGATCTAGGTTTTGCCCTGCTCTCTGTGAACTGTGTCTCTGTGTGAAAGGGAGGGCTGCAATCTCTTGCGTGATACTGGGAGCTAATGGGATTTTCCTGTTAGCATTGTGGAGAGCAGTGGGAATACCACAATGTCACTTCATGGAAAACAGAGGTTGCTTTGCAGCTGTTACAAAGAGCCAGATTAAACTTCCTGTTTTAAAGAATAAGGGGAGGGTTTTTTTTTCATTTTGAAGTTAAAAACTGAAGTTAGGGTAACCTCTGTTTGCCCACCTGAAACATTTCCTCATATAACTAGCTTAATGTATTTCCACATAAAGTAATGTTTTCTTAGGATGTGAAGCAGAGGAGACGCAGAAAAATATTATGTAGCAGCCTAAAGACTGTAGTTACATGTTTCCAAAGATGCTGTTTGTACTCCCTGACTGAATAGTAACTGACCACAGTGAGTATCTGATTTAGCAGTGGTTTTGCTTGCGTTTATACAACTTGCTTAGAGTTGAGTGGTGTCTATTTCTGTCAAATACAAATGCATCTGGGTTTTTTTTGTTGTTGTTTCTATTGTAGACTTGCCCTCAGCAAACTTAAGCAATTACAACATCACCGTGGTGGAAGGAAAAAGCATCACATTGTACTGTGATACTACTGGCGGGCCACCCCCTAATGTGTCCTGGGTGCTCACTAATCTTGTTTCAAACCATGAGGTAAGTTTCATATTCAAATATGTGACAAATCAGAGACGGGAGGTACCTGCAGAAGGATGGAATGAAGGTTCATGTCCAGCTTTAGTTAACTTTTTATTAAAAAGATGAAATAAAAAATTAATGTTGGGATTGCATTTATTTTCCAGTTACTTTCAATCCAGGGTGACTGCAGCAGTGCTTTTGGAGAATGGCAGACATTCGCTCCTTGAGACCCTGATTTGCACTCTTGGTTTTCAGATGTTCACTTGTAAATGAGAGTACTGTAAATTTTTGGAACTAATGTGGTGAATCGGGATACTGAAACACAAGGGCTTTCTTATTATCACTGATACCTGCATACAGAGAATAAATCTAATCTACCCTAATAATGAAAAAAACTTTGTGTCTCTAATTTTATTATATTTTCATACCAGAAGCTTGGTGTGTTGGAATTTTGTTGTAAATATTTTGTGGCTTGTTTAATTTTCCTTCAACAGACAAGAAGCAACAACAGGAAGCTTTGGAAATTGAAGTGAAGGTTTTACTAAAAAGAATGGCAGGGTTTTTTAAATGAAATATGAAGATGTTTCCTCAATAAAATCATCTAGACAGGGGGAATTTTGTTTTCTGAGATCTTTGTATTCTGTGTCCCTACTTTAGGGTGTGTGTGCACTAGAGATAGAATGGTTAAGTTCTTTCTGATGGAAGTGTTGATAAGATCTGCGGCATATATGCAGATCTTCAACATGCAGCTACTGACCTCTTAAATTGCCATTATTTACACAGTGGACAAGACCCTCTGTTATTCACAATTTTATGGCATTGGCTTTCCTACATTCATGATGGTGCAGACTGCCTAAAGCTTCCTGGTCTGTACGAAGTGTGGGATGTGTACTTCCAAAACTGTTCCTGCAATGTGGAAGAGACAGGACCTCTGGGGTCTGATAATCTTTGTACTTTCTTCCTTGAGATCATTACATCGGGCCCATATAGAATTTGACTAGCCTGACTTTCAGCTCTAGTTTTATTTTTAAAATTTTCTCTAATCTGTAAAACTACCCAAAGGCATCAGTCGTCATCAAGAACAAGAAATTAAAACAGTTTGGGGAACGTATGCCAAGTTGTGCTCTTTCTTTTTCTTTTTCTTTTTTTTTTTTCCTTTGAGTTATGAGCCAAAACAAATGTGGGATGCTGTTCAAAAAGTGAGATCACCTCATTTTTTAACCCTCCTATCTTTGAAATGCCATGGTCAGTTTGCTTCAGGCTTTCCAGAAATACTCTGTCCTGGCATAACTTCATCTTGAGGTTTCAGAGGGGCTCTTAATATAGGCTACAACCTTAGCCGTGGAGAACAGTAGTCTTTTCAGTAGCAGAAGAATGAGTGCCTTTTAAACCTCATTTGCCATTCACAACTATCCTTCCCTTTTCTGTGAGTGTTGTTTTTGGTTTCCTTTCTCTCACTTCCATATCTCAGTTTCTGCCTCCCTTTTCTTCACCTCCTATGCTGCTTTTGCCTGTTTTCTCTCTCTTTCCTGTTTTACAAAGAGAGATGTTAACAAAAGTTCGAACTAAACTCTAGTTCTGCAAAGCTAACTGTATGCTCTCAGTTTCTGTGCTGATGTACAATCCGATTGATGTTGGTTAGATTTTTCTTGCTCTATATTTCAGCCCTGAGCCTGCGATTGAGCCCCTCTGCTTTCAGTCCAGCTTTGAGAACTGCTCACCTCTGAGAGTTGCACATAGAGAAATGTGTAATGGGGTGTTTGCTTTTCCACTCACCTACCTAATGTCACACTGAAATCAAAGGGACACTTAAGTGGAGTTAAGGTGTCATCTCAAAATTCTGGTCCCACAGGACTGTATGCAGGAGCGTTCCCGCATGTCCCCGTTGACTGCCACTGAAAGTCACTGTGGTTTTACAGACACAGTGTGTTATCTGTTGGTGTTCTGTGCAGCACTGAAGTGTACATGTACACTAAGAAAAGTACCTCAAAAGTAGTTTTAAAAAATGATCCTAATTATTGTTTATTTTCTGAATGTGTTTTGGTTCCTTTCCTTTTTAGGAAAATAGTCTCACATTGTATGAAAAATTCAAGTATGGAAATAGTAATTATTTGGAGATCATATGAAGGACCTGATTTAAGAAAACAAGAGTCTTTCTTTAACAACTGGCTTTGCTAGCTTTTTTTTTTTTTGTAATTCAGCCCTATTTGCTTTATTCAATGTTGCATAGCTGCATATTCAATACGGCATTTAAGGCTGTAAATGGGCACTGAGCTTTCTAAGAATCATAAGAATCAAGATTTCTAAGAATCATAATTCTTACTTTAATTAGCCTGTGCTTAAACACATAAAACAGTATTTGGGCAGCAGCTTAGTTAGTAGAAGGTATGTAATTTCTTGTGGAAGGTTTCATGAGAAGAAGCAGTTTTCAAGAGAAGTTTCGCTAAGGAGGAGGGAAAAGACAGATTGTTGTCAAGGTGCAGTAGAGCTCAGAAGGCAGCAGGGGAAGAGATGTTAAGCATAAGCGTAAAGGAAAGAGACAAAAGGAAGAGTACAGCAGGGATTGAACAGAATATACGCGGGAAGAAAAAGTTCAAGGGGAGCGGAGACAGGCCATAGAAGTCAGTCATGAAGTGGAAGAGAGGGATGACCAAGGGTATGGGTAGAGAAAAAAACATTTGTGTAGACGGGAAGAAGTATTTAAAAAAAAGGCAGAAACTGAAAGTGAAAGGACAGAAAAATGGTTGAGTTCAGTGTTTGTAGCAGAATTTTTGGAACTTTGAATCCACTGCCACTGATGGTTACAATTGGTTCAGTAGGTGTTTTGTGTCTGTTTGGATAAGACACTAAAGTAAGGCTTTGATTAATTGTGGACTGATACAGCTAAAAGGAAGGGAAAATGAAAAATGCCATTCAGCTGTGGCCAATGATTCCTTTCCTCTCCCTTGTTCTTTATGCTGCGGTTGACACATACGTGTTTTTCTGATCACTTGTAGAGTGACACAAGTAAGAACCCTGCCTCACTAACCATAAAGAACGTTTCATCCATGGACAGCGGACTGTGGATTTCCTGCGTAGCAGAGAACATTGTAGGAGAGGACCAAGCCTCTGCCGAGCTCACGGTATTCTGTACGTACGCAGGCCTCCGTACAGCTCCTGAGGCCAAACCGCATTGGCAGCAACTGTTTTGGGTATAAATATTTTTTGGGCACGCAGGTTATTGAAACAAAAATCCTTAAGGCATGTGAACTATCTACTGCAGTTAATGCTGGGAGTAGCCCAACCAGCAGCTGTTGTATTTATCTTTTTCAGCCCTGTGTTCTGCAAAAAATGTATTTCTAAATGCTTTATCTTCCAGTTATAATGATCTGTAAGTAAAGATCTGAAACCCAAAATACTCAATGGCACTGTCAGTGTGGGAAGGTTTGTAATGGTGTGCGTGTACATACACACTGTCTTAGGAATTAAGAAGTGTGAATGCATCAAAAGACTCATAGAATTAATTGTAAAAGACTAGAAATGTTTAAGTTCTTATTGTCTAAAGCAACAACTGCTTTCTTCAAAACATAACACACTTGCAACATTCGTACTACCAGATGTAAATTTATTTGTCATAGCTTTGAATAATATACTTACTTATCCGGGCCAAGGAAGGGGGAAGGGACGTGTAGAGTAGAGGCACTGGCTTCTTAGATCTAAGCTCCAGCCTGAACTCATTTTATGTGAACTAGACAGCATGTTTTCACAAGTTGCAACCCTCTGTTTAATTGAAGATGGGAATGGAACGCTTTGTAGATGGCAAACTTCGGTCAGCATGTGCTCATGACAGAGTAAACTAGACAAATCACTGTAGATGTAGGTTTGTAGGTTGAAGTCGGGTATATAATAGCTATGGGAAGGGACATAAACTAGAGATGTTTGAACAGTGTAAATGAGATTCTGAGCTTGGCACTGTTGTAAGTGATAGAAGGGAGTATAACTAGATGAAATTGGATGCAGTTAAGAATAAATATCAAGCAAAATTTCCCAATAGTGAAATAATGGGCAAGGTGTTGGAATAATCTCCTGAGGGAAACAGAACAAGTCTGTAAACTTGAAGCATTTAGCAGATTTGAACAAAGAATGAGCAAATGCATAGTAGAAAATTGTCTTTCCCTGACAGAAGAATCCAGGGAATTAAGTCATCTGTTCTGGCTTTGATTCTGTGAAGAAAATAATCTGAAAGTTTGGATTCCTGGCTGAATATATTTCCAGTGCTACTTGCTTTTGGCCAACTTTTAAATATTTTCAATACTGTTGTGTTCCTTCACCACTCCTCTGCACCATTTTTTCAGCGGAGTAAAGCTAAAATGTCTCTCTCCCCCTTCTCAGTGATCCAGTAACTGAACTTCCCACACCTGACAGGGTTTAAGTGATTTAACAGGTGCTCAGTCTAGTTTGTTTTGTTTCTTTCTAAAGAACGGCTTCATTTCAGTTGTGAGCATAGTACCCTAGGCAGAGCAGGTGGGTTCCTGTGTAAGTATCCTCCAAATAGGTATCATTCCTACTAATAACATACTGTTGTACTGACGAATGAAAAATACTTCCCTGATAACTTTGTGGGGAGGGAGGGAAGGGAGGAAAGACATGTTCAGAATGTTCTGATGTTCTGCACTCTTTTTTCCAATATAGTTGCACCAAATATCACGTTTATTGAATCTCCAACCCCGGATCACCACTGGTGTATTCCATTCACTGTGAAAGGGAACCCTAAGCCCACATTGCAGTGGTTCTATGAAGGGGCTATACTGAATGAGTCTGAATACATCTGTACTAAAATACATGTTATCAATCAAAGTGAATACCATGGCTGCCTTCAGCTGGACAATCCTACCCACCTGAATAATGGTGCTTATACCTTACTGGCAAAGAATGAATACGGAGAGGATGAAAAACGGGTTGATGCTCATTTCATGTCAGTGCCTGGAGATGGTGAGTATAATTTTTTTTTTATGTTAGGAATTGCAGATTGATGAGACTGTGGAGACAGTGTTCCTGGCCAATTTAACTCTTTTGGAGGAAGCTTCTCATATGCTTCCTCCCCCCCGCCCCGAATGAATGTCTTCAAGATCAGTTGTAAAATAATGTTTTTCTTGTTTATTGCTTCTCAAGGGAGGCCATGCTAGTGCTCTGTAAATCTTCCCTTTGGGTTACCATCCTCAGTGCCAGCTGAGGCTAGTAAAAAGTTGCTGTTTCTGAAGTGTTTTCTCAAGCCTCAGTTCTGATCTTGGAAAGCACTGGGTGACCTCTGTAAGCTTTCTGCACTGCATAGGAATGCAACTAGGCAGTGTATCCAAGGACATGGGGGATGCCTATGTAGCATCTAGTACCTTGTTGCAAAATCAATAGTGCAATCCCGTGAGTTGATGATAATATGTTTTTTAGGACACAAGAGGGAGCTGGAGAGAAAACAAGTAACCCAGAGGCAAGGTGGACAAGGTCTTAGGTCCTCACGGGCATTTCGATGTCCAAATCCCATTCATTTCAGTGGAGGTTGGGCACTTACAAGCCTAGCAATATCCATGCTCAATATGGTTGCTGTTAAATATATGCATCTTCAGTTGCTCTAAAGGCTCCGCCTAAGCCCTTCTAAATGTTATGTGAGCAGGCTCAAGGTAGACTAACTCATTGAACTGCAGGGACTGCTGTACGTGATTGATGTTTACCATGGTTTGATCTTTTCCCATGTCTTCAAAACCATATGTGAAGTGACTGTAAGAGTAAGACGGCATACATGTAAACATATTGCTGTATGTGGAAAAAACTGGGCCTTGCACAGCTGGAGTGGAAATAAAGGCATGTCTTTGCGCAAATAATTGCACAGTCATATCTGAAAATATGAGCATGTGTGTACCTTTGGCTTTTTAGCCATGGAATATAAATAGCTGCCTTCTTTTTTGAAACAGCAATGTGCAGTGCTAATGTTATCTGGCAGAAAAAAAAGTGAATATTTAAATTCTCTTTCCTACATTGCAGGCTACAGGCAGTAAAAATATGGTCTGTATTTAACATTTTGCCCCATCAGCTCAGTCTGCTGTAGGGAATGGCAGGTTTTTTGCTTTCCCACCCTTAGAAGGAGAAGGCGAAGAGCTGATACAACCAGGCTTTATTTACTCCTGCTGTCCTTAGTGCTCCTCTCTTCTTTTTTCTCTGGAGTTCTTCCTTAAATAGACTCATTACAGAAACATGCCACAATTTCAGCTACTGGCATCCTCTAATACTGCATTATAACAGTTCAGTAAAGCAGTTCACCACCTATGTGTTCTGTGTACAATGGAAGTTCTTTTACACCCTGATTATTACACCCTGGCTTCATTTTCTTAACAAAATAACAGTTCCTCTAATACATTTAGGTGAATTTATCATTTTTTGTCTTTGATCCAAATCCCTTTTACTATTCTATTTTTCCTTTATGTTTCTCCCCTGTACATTGAAAATTTCCCAGTTGTGGCCTTTTAAATCAGTAAATAGAACTGTAAGTATCCTCCAAATTAGAAAGACAGCATTATTTGTTTGTTTCATCCTCTGTATACTCATAAGGAATATAAGTCTCCCAAGATAATCTGTGCTGTGTTCTTTAGGCATTTCCCAAGCTCTGTGGTGGATTAAGCATTACAAAAAGAGTATAGAGGAAACTGGACTATGTGTAGGCTATGTATAGACAGGATGTAACTGCATTAGAAATCAGTTCAAGCATAGTGGATGGCACCAAACCAGTCTTAAAAATTAACAACAGGGGAAATTGCTTATCTACTTAGCGTCCTCAATATTGTTTTTGTTTGTGGGGCTTTTTCCTATAAGAATCATGGCACTGAGCTTTAGAAAACGTCACAACATTGTTGTCTCCTCCACTGAAGCTGGCATAAAAGCAAATGTTAAAAAACTAGAATCCTCTGTGCATTGTATTACAATTTTTGTTTTAAACTATTACTATTTAAAGCACTGTCAGGCTTTTTCAAACCCTTAAAAGGCTTTTTCAGTGCTATCGTTACTGTGTAGTTTCTTCTTTTGGCCCACATATTGTACAGTGAAGCATAAAGATTAAGGCCTACGCCCTGGTATTATGTTCATTTCCATGCCTTCATGACCGAATTAAATAGCAGCCCTGATGTTTCATGGGGTGGGGTATACTCACTGAGCTTTAAACTGAGTCTCTGGTTATTGCATCACTTACGGGCAAATGCTCTGAAGGTAAAAACAAAAGAAAATTAAAAAAAACCCCTCACCTCTAATCCATACGTCTATCCAAATTAAATACAACTTAGTCTGAAGCATGTTCTTTCATCAACAGTGTAATACTCCACTTTCAAAGTTGCATCAAAGATGATGAAGTCATGATTTGTGCTAAGATGCTCTCAACCTCTAGCATGCTACTTGCAGAACATTTTTCACTGGTCTGAGGATGCAGGCATAAAGGAGAGGAAAGCATGTACCACAGTGGGATTTGGATTGAGTTAATGATAACACAGTTAATGTTGTAAATTAAGACTTTGTTTTAAATACGAAGGCTTGGAAGAATAAATTTCATATTCTATTAGATAGATTTTTAACTAGCTTTAATCTGCTAAGTTCTTGACTTGATTATTTGAGACTACACTGCAGCCAACAATAAGCAAGAAATGTTCATGTTTTATTCTGGAACCTGTTCTCATGGTTCATCCAAAACAGCTAATGAATGTGGGAGAGATTTTTACAAATAATAAGTATTTTTAATTAAGCTTATTCATCTACCAGCTCTCTACTCTCAAATTCAGCTGAAGGAATCCAAGTCACATAGTATCTTGTCAAAGTAAAAGACTATGTTAAATACGCTTTAGAAGTAGCATCTTGCTTGTGCGGCATAACAACATGGGGCTGTTTTGCAGAAGTATTTTTTTGGATTGAGTCTTTTGCTGCTGCTTTATTTTGAAAATGTCAATTTTATAAAGAAAGAAGCAAGCAAACCAAGTGTAGTTGATGTAGCTTGTAAAGGTGAGTGAATAGGATAAGTCTCTTAATAGTTTATTTACACAACAACCTTTTCTAACAGGGACCAAAACAACAATGCTGTTCTGTGTTTGCCTTAAAAATACTTGTGTGTAAACATGCAGAATTACTGTGGTGAAGTTTAATGTTAAAATAGCTTCAACTTGTGTTTTGATGATTGAGTAGATAAGTTTTTATGTAGGGAATACTAAATAGAAATCTGGGTTTCGTCCAGCACTTTGATTTTTGCAACTTTATTTGAAGTGAAGTATTTAATTATATAAAAGATATTTGAATGGGGTTGATGACTTCCTAGTTTGTATCCCTGGCAGGAGTTTGAGGTTAAACTAATCAGATTACTTTATCCCAATTCCAGTAAACAGTAACAAAAATGTTAACTCAGGAATGAAGGCCAGGGAATTTTTTTGTTGCTTTTTTTCCCTTCATATTACAGAAGGTAAATTAGAAATACTGTCTTTCAGCAGGTGGATGTTTTATACTGGTGAAACAGAACCCATGGACTTTTATGGACAGAAAACCCCCGTCAGAAGTTGCTTGAGGACAGATAGTACACGCTTTCTTCACTTGTTATTTATTTCTGCAGATTGACATGACAGTTCTCATGGGGTCTATTAACCTGTATCTCTGGATACTAGAATATCTTCAAATGCATTAAGAAATAAACCTAATTATCTGCTGCCATTCTGCAAATAGGTTGCAACTCTGTTTAGTATTTTCAGCACAGATTCTCACACTGTTGACCTAAGCAGAAACAATGGTGTTCTGGTCATACTTCATAGTGGCTTTAGGCCTGTGTCAAGCCACTGCTATGGATTTACTATATAGTACTATAAACAGAATTATGCTTTTTAAAGTTTGATTCATCTTTAGAGATTTTGACTATCTGTTAATTTTATTTCCAAACCAACAAAAAGAAAGAGTAAAGGTATGGAAGAGATGATTAGGAGCCTACTACATAAGCTATGCTATAAATACATTATAGACCAGAATGAACGGGTATGTTGAAATACAACACAAGTATCTTTCAAAGCGTGAATAGTCTAATAGTACACTAATTTCAGTGGGCGTTCTGTGCACTATACTCACATATGTGCTCAGCTTTACATATGTGCAGTAATTAGAAAAAGCTGCAAACTGGAACTAGTAGAATTTAGAAAAGTGTAGACTAGACGGGTATCCATTTGCTTGTGTCAAGGCTGGCTTCCGAGACATTTGACTCTTTTGGTAAGAGTTCTGTCTGTGTATCAGCTGTGCAACTGGCTTCTTGGAAGCATCCTTTTACAGAGCGAATGAAATGGTGCTGCCTTCGTCATTGCTACCTCTAGCCCTTAATTTGCCAGCTCACAGCTAAACCGGTTTGCTCTCATGGTGATTTAATAGCAAAATCTTTTGACCAGGTAAAAGTCAGTGATTGTTAATGCTCACTGAAGTCTGCTTCCACTTAAGGCCAGGGAGATTTTTACCATTGATTTTTCAACAGGAATAGTTATTGTTGCACTTATTCCAGATACACATTAACAGCGGAAAGCAGAATTTTGCCCAGTTGGGAAATACGCCTGCTTTTGCCAGGGCTAGTGCCCTGTGCCTTAGCTGTTTCACATGAAGCAAAATACTAACTTTTGGGATAGCTCTAAAATGGTTGTGAATGTAATCTGATAAATAGATACTGCAATATGTTCATGTGTAGGTACTGATCATTGCTATTGCAAATAACATGTCAACTCTTAAAAAAATTCGTAAAGAAACTCTTATTCTTCCAGCATTTGAAATCTATTTACCAAGGCTTTTTCTTTTTTTTTTTTCTCTTCTCCATGTACAGGTAGTGGCCCAATTGTGGATCCAGACGTTTATGGTATATATTCAATTTCCTTTTTCTTTTCTTTTAATGATAGAAATGAAGGAACTGAAACCATTAAAAGATTGAATGTCAGGCTCAGTTAAATTGAAATGGCACATATTATAGCAATTCTAAAAGGTACTTTGTATTTTTGGTCCTTCTCTTGCCTTATATTATTTATGATAAATGAAGGCAATATGACGGTTTACTTACTCTGCTGCTTTTAATTCACATTAGGAGAAGCATAAATCCACTGCTGCGAATGGTTGCAGTTGATCCTGTAGGATGACAGCTGTCTGATGTAGCTCACAGGCATGAGATTTTGTGAACCTTTTGGAGGCATTTCTTGGAGGAAAGAGAGTTCATGATTTCTCCTTACATAACTTAATTTATTTTTTCAGGGATGATTCCATACTTGCTTTGCCTCCAAAAATGTACCCCTAAATCCCACTTAAAAATGAGGTTGGCACAAGTAAGTTTTCCTGTAGGCAATTTATTTTGCTCTGTCCGCTCATTTGTACCTTCCCTTAATCTCTCTTGCATAAGCAGACCATCAACTCAGTGATATCTGAGTGTGTGCCAGAAGATTTGATGACACAGTGTTCACATTAGTTTTTTAATTAGGCGAAATATTTTGGTCTGTACCCAGTGAAAGCCAGTGTGCACTAGAATAGAAGCTGCAGAATGAAAAGCAACTGGCCAGTTTTACATAATATACATAGTATACTTCTGATGAGTAGGAAAGTCCATCCTAACCAACATACCCAAACACCCTTTAGCTTCCAGCAGAAGCTGGATCCTGTTTGGAGTACTTTTTATTTGGATGAAAAGGCCCATGACTCAAGTTTCCTTAAGCTGATTTAAATGTTATTGCTTTGATTCCATTCCATGTCATTAAACTTTAGCAAATGTGCAATTGAAGCATCAATTTGGCTTTAAGTGCTTAGAAATATTAAACGATAGCTTCCCCTCCCTCTCTTTCCAAATTCTTATCTTTTTGGGGGGCTGGGGGGTGGGAAGGTTGGTGATGGTTTGCACAATTTCTTATATGTGTTGTGTTGTATAAGCTGTATGCATGAAGATTTTGATTCTGAGCTGTTTATCAAGGTCCTGATGCCTGTATATGGCTTTAACCATCTGAGTGCTGTGCTTCGATTGACTTGGGTAGGTTTCTGCTGAGATGTGCGCTTCGAGTTGCGCTAGCAGATCACAGCCTGCAAGACCTAGTCCTGATGAAAGGAGCCTTCCTTTTTGTTCCTGGCTTTTCTTTCTCCTGTTTGAAACTGCTGTCTTTGATCTTTGTTTCAGTGACTCAGTGCTTGCTTTGAGAAACACTTTGTAGTCCAAAGTGTTTCCCTAATTATTCCAAATTCACAAGTCCAGTTAGTGAGGTGAATAAATGAGGCCAGCTGGAAAGTCTAGGAACTGATACACTTCCTCAGAGAACCACTGCCTGCACGGCTGATGGTGGGACCCCTGGGATGAGCTCCCCCTAGAGACTGAGCCATTTTCATGACTTTTTTTCAGGCTGCTCTATGTCTATGCTAACCTGTTTACCCAAAACTTAGATTGTATTGGAAGGGAGATTTAAAGCACGCACCCCCTCCTGCAGTCTTCCCTTTAAAATGCATTTTTCAGAGCCCCATGCTAATCGTGTTGCAAATGTGCCGCGTGTAACGGGTAAAGATGGCGGCAGAGGATTTGATCCTGCTGGGCACTGGGACTAGCTGTGTCTCTGTCAGTCTGTTGGCTACGGGTAAAGTTAATGGGAGCTGCAAGGTACTTCCCTGCAAGTACTGGGGTGCCGCAGGGCCGGGGCTGCCCATGGGGGTCCATCAGGGCAGGGCCTG